AGGGAGATAAGTGCTTCTCACATGCCTCCATACCTAGGCTAGGGAAGACTAAATGGCTGTGGTTTAATCTGAAGACAGTCAGAGAAGTCATCTTAAGCAGATACACCTCGAGGGATAGATCTTTTAACAGACATAGGTCCTAACCTACTAACACTTGGATTCCGGGAAATGGAGAAGAAGGGACATAAACATGAAGAGGCAGTTTGGAGAGTGATGGATAAGCCTGAGTTGTTACTTCAAACAAAGAGTGGAGCATTGCTGGGGGAAGCTTCATGTGTACAGCTTACGTGGCTTGGTGGGGGATTCTATTGTAGAGGTTTGGGACGTTAGAGAAGCAAGGTTTCCTCCCCCAGGTGTTGGCAAGTCACTGCTGTTTTGTAAGCAGAGAGCAGCTGTGTTACAGATGTGGGTCCCGCGTGGTGTGCACAGTTGACTTTGCTTTATCTCCTTCACCATTTATTCTGTTTGCTGGCACCTGTGCCCTAATCCGTGCTGTTGAACCCCCGAGTATTTCACAAAATGTCTACTGTGGGATGTTCTAATAGTACCAGAAAGACTGTGCATAATCCTAAGAGTAGTAACCACACACTCAAGTCCATTTCATCCCATGCACTCTCATAATGCAGGTTACTTTAGTGGCTCCTAAAGTTGCAGGGATTTCACACAACCAGTGAGTGAGCAGTCAGTTCTGGAGCAAACATGGACTGGCAGTCCTCTAACCCAATTCGTTTCTTCCGTTGTTTGATGGACAATATCAGCATATCCCACAGGCCGAGGACTCTGGTTTCAAGACTCCCGTAACCACTCTCAGGTGCCAATTGCCTCAAGGTTATTTAACCTTTGCTTGTAGATTAAAGTTCCCATAACCCCTCTGGTTCTATTGGTATGCTTCAGTGGCTTAAAATTTTCAGGGAATTATAGTGGCCTTTACCAAAAAATACATTACACAGGGTCCACATGAGAGGACACCTCAGATGAGATGTGGAAGAAGCGTCCCTCAGGTTGCATCCCTCTTTAGAAATTCCCATACACTAAACTGTTCAGGAGCTGTCCAAACCCTATCCTTTTGGGGTCTAATGGAGAGTCCATTTTATAGACATAGAAGCCTGTCCAACTATGTAGACAATTTGTGGATAATAACTTACAATCTAATGTTAGCATACTGAGTATGAGTTATACTTAGGTTTTTCCTGGACTATGTAGATTTTCTTCTTTTAGAGTATAAGGGAGAACCCCTTTGAAAATGGAGTTCTTGTGACCTTTTATGGGGCAAGGTTGGTTAAGGAATTATAGGGTGTTGTTTTTTTTTTTAGTGTCAGGCATGGAAACTTGGACTCTGTCAATAGTCAATATTTGCTCTTAGGGCTCCCTTGGATAAAAGTACTAGAGGAATACAAATTCCATTCAAATTATTTACATGTATACAAGAACAAGAATGTCTGTGGCCACTTGCTGGTGTCTACCTCAGCCAAGTCTCCGGAGTCGTAGTCACATGTAGATGACACTCTACTGCGTCACTCCTGTGATTAAGTATTTTTTATCTTTCATAGCATGTGTTATTACCACTAATGGAACAACAACAACAACAACAAAAGACCTTAAGTTGGTGCAAATAATTCCTGCTTTGTTCTAAAGGGCATCTAAAGTCTATAGAGATAACCCAGATAGGGAGCTGTGGCTCTAATGGCTTCTCTTGAACATTGGTGAAAAGTGCAATCTTTAAGGTCCACATTGTATTTGCAGTGGATTGTGACAGGAACGAATGATAATGAAAGCACCAGTCATGCTTCCAGGGTGCTTTCCATGCTCCAGACACTTTCTTAAGGACCTGGCATGGAAGCCTTCCTGCTTTGCAGATGATGAAATTGAAACACAAGAGAATTATATTATCTGGGCAAGCTATACAGTTAGAAGAAAAGGACTTGGTTCATGGCTTGTGCTCCAGGAGTTCACCCAGCTGCTGGGGGCCCACAGTAGACCTTGAGGGTTCCTGTCCTCTCCCCTAGGGAAAAAGTCGCTGGGGAGTTTACTATTTCTTGTTTTGGGCAGACTGTATAAAAAGAAAGCTGGTGTAGTTAAACGAGTACTACAAATGTGTGAAATTGAATGTCTGAATTTTGAACCAGGGAATAGCGCCTATGCAGTATTAAGATGTGGTAAAGCCACTGAGAGCAGAGCATGGTGCACACCTTTGATTCCAGTGCTTGGGACGTAGAGGCAGGCAGATCTTTGTGAATTTTAAGCCAGCCTATATATAGTGAGTTCCAAGATAAGCCAGAGCTATAAAATGAGAACTTGTCTGGAAAAATAAATAACAACAAAAACCTCATAGATACTTGTAATATTGTGTAGTCTGCTATATAAGTGTGTTTTCTTTGGATATTTGGTTTGTTTGTATGTTTTTTTTTTATTACTTTTTCTGTATTTTTTTCAGTCCTCCCCCATTTTTATTAAAATTGTTACAAACATCTTTTGTATGAAAAGGGATTATTTTTGCCTTTAAAGATTGCTTTTTAATGGTAAAATTTCAAGGATAAAATTTAAAAGTATGGTATTTTGAATCTGTTGACAAATATTTTTGCTGGGTTGATTTTATTAATTAATTGTACCAGGTTATTTATCTTTATTGGTGCCTAAGAATACCTATTTTGCTTGGTCCTCACAGTATCATTAAACTATTTGCATTTCTTTTATACATAGGCTACTTTAAAGATTCTATACAGCATTGATCCATTCTAATGCTGTGTGAACTTGTAAAATACTTTTTAAAATGTGATTTAGGGATCGTGTTTGCACAGTACTGTATATATCTGAAATTTCTACTTTTAAACGGTTTTGTTATGTAAGTTTCATCTCAATAAAAGCAGCATTTGTTTCTGTGTATGTACAGTGAAGAAGTGCCTCTGTGCGTGCATGTGTGTGGCCTGCAGGCGAACAGAGCACTGGCGCCGAGCCGACACTGTGAGCCTTGAAGTGCTGCACATTTCTGAGATCACGCCCTGAATGGATAATGTGTGCTGCTGGCTACACTGTGCCTTGCTGAGTTTGGCCTGTCAAGGGTTAAAATGGTTTACTGCAAAGCAGTATTTTACTTGCCTGAGGAGATAGTGTCCTGCCGACATTACAGTGCAGCCATGACGCACTATCAAATAGTAGCTCAGGAGACACACATTTAGGATCAGCTCAGTGAGAAAATGAAATTGACATCCATCCTAAACACCCCTGATGACCAGAAAAAAAAATGTGCTAGTCATATATATATATATATGACCAGAAAAAAAAATGTGCTAGTCATATATATATATATATATATATATATATATATATATATATA